TTTGGTTTTTTTCAAAAGAAAGAGCCCTTTTTTTTTTTTTTTTTTTTTTTTTTTTTTTTTTTTTAATTCTGTCAATCTCTTGCATGGTTGTAGCGCTTTTTTAAAAATTTCGAATACTAAATAAATAAGTAAACTAATAATAATAATAATTTGGTAGATCGTTTTTCAATCATATATTTTTCATTTTATCTTTCAAGCGTGGCAAAACAAGAAAGTTGGTGGGATATTAAAAGTTGATGATTTTGAATTTCAAAAAAGAGAAGACCTTTTCTATTTTTTATTTTTAATTTTGTCAATCTCTTTCGCAGTTGTAGCACTCTTTTAAAGAGATCAAATGTAAAAAAATAATAATAACAAAATTGACAGACCACTTTTCAATCGTATGTTTTCCATTTTATTTTTCAAGGGTGGCAAAATAAGAAACTCGGTGGGATTTTAAAAGCTGATGATTTTAGATTTTGAAAAAGAGAAGACCTTTTTTTTTTCTTTTTTAATTCTATCCTTTTTTTTCTTTTTTAATTCTTTCAATCTCTTGAATAGTTGTAGCACTTTTTAAAGAGGTCAAATGTAAAATAATAATAATTAATTGACAGATAGCTTTTCAATCATCTGTTTTCCATTCTATCTTTTGAGGATGGGCCATTGGCCGAACAAGAAACTCGGTGGGATTTTAAAAGGTGGAAATTACACAAAACTAGGGGTTTAAACATTACAATTCAAAAATCAAGGTTGAAATTTTATTATGCAAAAATCAGGTATTGATTTAATAATTTAAATATTAAATATTTCACCCAATTCTCAATTTCCAAATCCTAATTTTACCCATTCTCTCTGTACCATCTTTCTTCTCTCTCTCTCTCTCTCTCTCTCTCTCTTTAACTATTGAATCACTGTAGAAATTCGGAGATAACACCTTGTAGGCAGTGACTGTAGCCTGATACCACAGCGACAGACCCAACCCATTTGTTGTCGATCCAACGACGGCGTTGCAAATTCGGGCAGCACCAACGCCGTCGTCGCTGCGTATGGTTGTGCCATTTGTAGTTGCTGGGCATAACTACGCCATTTGCAACGAGGCACCATTGCACGCAGCACTGCCTTGCCGCAGACGGCGCAGTTGTGTGCAGCCGTGCGCAACCATGACTTCGACACTGCACTGCAAGGCTTCAACAACAGGAAAGGGAGAGGAGAATATAGACTGAGAAGAGTGGATCTAGCAATGACTTTTGTTGGTGATGTTGGTAAAGGTGTCAAGGACCACAGCTTCACTTAATCCCTTGACACTATCGCAGCCGCAGTTTGCCCAACTTCGGCCGCACATTGTAAATATTACTTCAAGTTTGAGTTGTAATTTTCTTTTCATTGTAATAGTTATTTTAATTGTAAAATAGCTCTGATATTGGTAAAAGATTAGTATGATTCCTCGTCTTTTAAACGTCTACTCCCGTCACTTGGGTTTTTGTTCAGAATGCTATTATAGGGGGTATTAGTCATTCAAAAATCTTTCAAACTCACTGGTGTCCGCCCCCTGCACCAGCATTTGTAATTTTCTGCTTTCATCAATTGTAATGTTCAGTTTTCATCAATCAATGTTCAATTTACTTTCAATATATTCAAATTCTCAATTGTAAGCTTTCTACAAAATTGCAATCAAATTTTCTTTCGTTCCAACGCGACCGAGAAAAGGCGGAAGGTAGTCTAGCGGAGCAGACTACTGTCGCACGGTGTCCCTTTCTGTGCCGAGAAGAAAGGCACCCCGTGAAAGTTGGTATCAGAGCTGCGGCTCA